GAATTCACATTTTTAGGAAAAATTCGCAACGTCTGCAAAATTTATATCCCTTAAAAAAAGGCACATTACAGTAAAACTTGATATGCTATCTCATTCCATTCTGGCTAAAATTTTCAACATCAATAATATTAATGGCTTTCAATAAGCAATAAAACAAATCAATAATTTTCATGCTAAGAAAGGGCACATGCAGTATGTGTACACATAACTATGATATTTTGTGCTTTTGCTTGTACCAGACTACATCATGCATTCATACTAGAAACAATGTAAAACATTACAGGGCTCAGCCACGTAGATTATTAGCTGCAAAAAAGCAGAATGTCTACCTTAATTTGCTGCTAGAAAACTCCTGACTTGTTTGTGGCTTTAAGCCTTGCTACACTGACTTTGAAATAGCCACGAGATATAAAAAGGCTGGCCAGTTTTAATAGTACAGTCCTTGAAAAAGGTGACATTTGCTTGACTTTCACAGTTTATCTCAACAAAAACGAGTGTCATAGTTACTTAATTGCACCTGTAACCTTTTAAAGCAGTTGGAGAAGTCTTTGGACGGTGTTTTTGCCTTTATCTTGTTGCTAGGAAGTAGGAAACTTATGACTTCTAATTCCCTTGTGTTGATCGCCATTTTATTTTCTTTCAGAAACTCCCACTTTCAATGAAATATTAAAATTTAGAATCATTGCATTGCTAGACATGTGCGGCTATATAGAGGACATACGGAATACGTACGTGTACAGACAGACAGACAAACAAACAAACAAACTGTACTCATCTTAGTGGGCTTTGCCCAATTAGTGTAAAGGGAAAGGAATAGCAAATGTTGTATATGTAATAATTTAGACACTAAAATACTTTAACAATTAGTGCATAACAAATCGACAATCACCATTTTGATATATTTTTAGAACTGCCTGATGCAGCAAAAATTGGGGCACATATATGTATGTTTACAAAATTTATAGACTAGGCGAATGTAGAACATTGAAGGGGCGAGCACAAGCTAGTATGGCAATATACAATGTTTAGATGTCACAAAGGCTAATGTTGTTGTCAAATTGTAACTTGAATGATACACATGCAGAGCAGCTCAGAACTTGTGACTTGCATGCATGAAAGGAAATTTTATAGCTTGCTCTTCTAGCTTTATTAGCAGTGAAGAATCTCAGTTGTAACTTTAATAAGTATAATTTAATTTTTACTATGATATTTCAAGCACATGCAGTGCTTTTAGACTCTCTTTTCTCTGAGTCATTTGAAGTGCTTTTATATTCAACCATAATTAATAAAAAATTGAAGATTTATGTGTGTTTTCTTGAATTTTCTCTGCTGATGAAGTGTCTTGACAAGAGATCAGTCCTATGTTGCTGCAGGTAAGATTGGCTAAGGTAGGTGCCATTTTTATTTCATTGCAACCACACCCACATCAATGAAAATATTTCATTAGAATACTACCGCATTAGATCATTGATTTTAAATAGATATTGTGCACACATGGGGTGTGACCAGAATAGGCGTGACTGGAGACGTACGTACATACATACATACATACGGAGGGAGGGAGGGAGGGAGGGAGACTTCGCCTGAGTGGGGCTCGCTTATGCTCGCCCCAATAAAAAATAACTTTTACGGAGTATACACTGACCTAGTTCATCTAACATAGATTTTGCAAGATCTGCTAGGCTCCTTGAGTGTTGATTTATCAGTACTTTACAAAAGTCAATCAGATACCGTCTGGAAAAGACAGAACCATCCAAACCTTCTAAACCTTCCAATTGTCCTTCAATAGCATGCATCAGTTTGCTAGCTTTGGTATACATAGAATCTGCAGCTATATGAATTTCATTTTTGGCCTGTTGTGGTATGAGCTCTTTGGCATACAGTTCATCTGATATTCTTACAACATCAGCAGACATTGCAGCAATAAGATTTGCTGATTTAGCTTTTAGTATATCTAAAATGAAAAAATAGCTTTACATAATGGAGTACTTTGGTTACCAAACATAGGACCTGGTCCTGGATTGAGTTCAATATCTCCTGCTAAGAGGAGAAGAAGAAACATGAAATGATGATAACAAACATTCTGATTAGACTCAGTATATGTCTCAAAATACACAGCCGTAAACTCTTGTACATTTACTTCATCAACACCTATCAAAATGCAAATAAATTACACAGGAATAAAGATTGCTATACCTTTGGATATACTTGGGTTATAACTCAACTGACTCATCAAGAGTACAACGAAAAAAATAATTAAAACACGAAGGAGCAAATTTTTTGAGAATTTTTGAATTTTTTCTTTCTTTGATGACTCTATACACTGGCATGAACACTGGGAAGCTTTAGCTGGTCTACCAGAAGCAGCTTGGCAACAGTTCCATAAGCCAATCCTGGCTCTCCACTGAGAGAGATTAATCATCTCACACTAAAAGATCATAAAAATATGGTGTAACCAACAATTTGTTAACAGCTTCACATAAAAGGATGTACATATTAATAGCAAATAATCAAAATGATGTAGTTAATGATGCTATACCATACTCGCCCCAATTAATGCAACCTCCTAATTATTGCACCTCTACATGGCTTCCACAATAAAAACTTTCAATGGAGTGCACCTCCTGGTCAAGATAATTATAATTTGAAAGGTGCATTGTAATTAGTCCCATTGTTTACAGGTGTATTATGTACTCTGATATGCCGGCACCTCTCTAAACAAGCACCTTTTGGAGCATTTCATAATTGTTCCTATCTAAACAATGCACCACCTGAGACATGTAATTATTTATCAAGAGGCCATGTGTTGTATCATAGATACTATGATTGTATTGTACTCTGCCTAAAGCACAGGCTCTCATGAACAAGGAGTAATAAAAGGCTAAATAGTGAAAGTTAGTTATACCATACAACATGATTTATTAGCGGGGAATTAATATTGGTGACTGGTGGTTCTATGAAGAAATCACCAATATAAAATTCGACATTTTGTTTCAATTTGCAAGCATGCTCAATGGCAGGTGGCACAAAATCATCAATATAAAATTCGCCAAATATTACTCCCACCAATAAATCATCTTGTATGGTAGTCTAGACAAAGTGGCTTCAAATGTGGTTGTGTGTTATTATAAAATGATAACCCAGTGATTGCAGGTGCAAATTTCTCAATGATAAACAACATTGTAGTAAAAATCAATTTCTGCAATAGCTCATTACCTGTGACATACACAATGTATACTGGCCCTTAAAAATTTTAAATGCTCCAAAATTATCTACTATAGCACAGTAAGTACTGTAACACTGCATTAAGATTTGTAAGCTGACAATACAAGTTAGCTGCTAGGCCTACATGTACATGTACATGACAACAGGAGCCCTCCTGATGACAATGATGATACATCAAAACCAAGTGTTTGTTAAAAGCATAGAGATTTGTACAGTTCACAAAATTGTCCTCATTGACATGCACATTTACTTAGCCCTTAGCACAACAAGTATAAAAGTTTTTTAAAGGCAAGATAATTTGTTATTCCCTTTATAATAATGGTAACTTTAAATCACACATGATCAAGTACCGCATTGTTCTTTGACAGAAGTTTTTCAGCCCAGACTAATTAATTCATAAAACTAAAGCATCATGATACCTTGATACTTACACTAACATTGTGCATTATAACAAGAGTGGATAATTCAGATCAATGTCTGCCATTATAGCTCATTACCATGATTGTACATGTATATTTGCATAATAGATTGGCCATAGAAAAATATAGCACTGTAATTACTGTAATAATCATTAATTTTGTTAACATTCACACACTGTGATACATTGAAACAAAGTGCTCTTAACTGAAAATTAAAACATTTTGTTGTACAGTGCACAAGATTGAATTTTTACAACAAGAAAAATGTTATTTCTATCGTATGAGGTATCAGTGGTTACTTACGAATGATCTTGTTCCACACAGCCTTGTTTATTAGCTGAAAATTTTTATTCTCTTTTGAAACCTGAGGCAATTACTACTGAGCGAACTACTGAGGCATTTACCAAAAACCTGGCCCCTCCTACAGCAAAATTCCACTATCAATGGCAAAATTGGAGGGGGCGGGGGCAGGCATGTCACCTGAGACCATAGATATTAGAGTTAAACTATTATTAAATAATATTATAACTATTATTAACTCTATTATCTATGCTGAGACCCTCCCCTTGGCTTAGCCTTAGTTGGCAATAGTTGCATCACAACATGTTGGATGACTGCAAATACATTGCATAAAATTACATAGCTCAGAGTCAGAGGTATGCCCTCCTTGCAGACTCCTTAAATCCTGATAAAGCATTGTAGATAGATAATAAATTATGAGTTGGTATAATAACCTAGGTACACTGAAATAGCCTTTAGGAAAATAAGATCCAATAGCCTGGACTACCTTCTGTTTCATGCTCTTCGGTATATTGAACTGTTTCATACAGTTCAATATTTAGCAATGTGGGCAATGACAAATTGACAATGACAGTCAAATTTATTCTTAGATTATTCAACAAATAGACTGACAGTTATTCAGAGCCTTACATGAATAAGGTAATAGTGTCCCATTATAGTGAAGCATATTTGAATTCTAGCACAAACCTCAAATTAAGGAGCAGTTGTTTGACGCATGCATGCAGATGAATAAGCCATGCTACACTCATATTTATGTTTAACACCAAAATGTTATGAAATAACATGCATACTATTTTTATTTAATGAAATGGTACTAATTTGTAGTAGTGGTAAGCTTATACCTGCAGTACACAATTTCATACTTCTATAGGCACGTGCCCTGAATGTGCATAAATAAATGAATGAGTATAATTTCCCCAAATTTTGCACACACAAAACAGATAATGTTTCTTGCGTCTAANATCAATACAATTATAAATCATGCTTTAAAGATTAATAATGAATATAATTTTCAAAAAATGAGTAACTACAATAAATAACAAAAATCAACTGCATTGTGTGAATGAATAAGTGACATTAATAATAATTGCACAATCATAAATATAATCTACAATTTTCAGTCAATTTCAATACAAATCAAATTGTACACTTTCTCAGCACATTTAGTCGCATCAGCAGCTAGATGAAAATTATATTTGTCAACTGGTGCATTTGGTCTGCTGTGCTTATTAGGATAGCGTGTACTTGTATAATACTGCTCCATACCTAATACTAAATTAGTGAGAGGTAATAGTGACACTTTAAATGAACCAAGAGCTCTAGCAGGAACATTTAATTGATGATATTTAAGATGTATCTCATTTAATCCTAGTAGAGCATACATACCAGCTTTAAGTGATTTTTCCATTACCTGGTGAGCCATAAATATGACTTGAGAGGAGACTTCAGAGTCATATGAAGAGGACAAGTACTTCAGAGCTTTTAAATCAGACTTTGCCTGTCTTATCCATCGTTTTGCTTCAATCAAATCAACTTGAGGCTGAAAGTTAAAGGAACTTGCACTTTCCTGGGAGGATTGATTCTTCTGACTTTGAAAACTACTAAAGTTTTTTGCCCACTCAGAACTCAATTTTACTCCCACACCTATTCCTCCTCCACACCATGCATTACGTGCACTTTCATCCCATTTGTTAAAATTTGATTCCCAATCAGATTTATGCCTAACAGTTGTAGCTTGACTATGCAGCATAGCATCAGGAATATCAAGATCTAGCAGTGGGAGTTTCTTCTCTAGACGGTTGATTTGGCACTTTAAGTATTTAAAAATCTCTTCATGCAGCTTTATTAGTGATGTTTCAGCTTTATCAGGATGATACAGCAAGTATAATCTTTTGAGTCCCCGATTTCTTTCAAAGTCAGGTAGAAGCCATAGTAGTCTCAGCTGCTCACATACTTTCCTTTTTAAAGTACACATATCTTCACCCTCATTTGCTTCATTAAAAGTTAGATGGATCCCATTGTGTAGAGCTATTTCTTGAGAATCAATTAATGGGGCTGGGGCTTCACGTCGCACTAATTTATATAGGCTCAACACCGATATAACTTCTTCAATTAAATCTTCTTTATTATCAATTTGAATGGCATACTTTCTTAAAAAAGGATTGTTGATATCTTCTTGATGTACCTGATGAAGTATGATTGCCCAAACAAAATAATCATAACTTTTTTCATACCCGACCCACTCCTGAGGACGAAACACATTATTAACATCTTGATCAAGGAATGACTTCCAGAAACTTTTCATAGGTTGTCCAGGCTCTGGCAAACTATCATCAACGCTTAATAAATTTTCATCATCAACCATAAAAAGTACATCTTGATGAAAGTCTTCCATGAATAATTTGAAATCATTTTCACTCTGGACATTTAAAAGCTTATAAATCATTTGGAACATTTCCTTTGAAAATAAAACAGCTTCATACTTTATCAAACGTGCCAATACAATACAGATTTCATGAGAAAGATCTTTCAGAAGTGTCATATCAATAGTAGTAATACTGTCAGTGCCATAAAATGTGTACTTGCCATCCTCAAATAGGAACATAAAATTAGCTCCTACTGCCCCAACTCTCATAAAGTCAATTATCACACTTGAAGTTAGCTTAGCAATAGTTTTGAATTCTAGATCTTTAATAAAATCAACAAATAAAGCAGCCTTTTGTTCAGATAAGCTTGGCAAAGCCTTCATAAATATTTTGACTAAACCTTGTGAGTAAAATGTGCCTGAACAGAGATTTGCTATGATTTTAAGCCTCTCTACTAGTTTACTCTGAGACTGCAATACAGTACATGACTCCAGCATATCATAACTAACAAAGGATAAGGGCTTTGGAGATAAATCAGTGGGCAACTTGTGGCAAAGCTCTGTTTCTGACAGCTTTGCATCATACGTGTATAATGGAATGTGAAATAATGCAAAGTTTGTCTGTGAAAAATCCCAAGAAGCCACATTGTTGTAATACACCTTTCTATCGAGATAAACTAGTTTTGTTGATAAAACTAATTCATTGTTCAATGATGGGAGATACAAAGGATCAAGTATTTTTGCTGCTGTTAGTGTTACATCATCTTTTAGCAAACTAAAAAGTGTCTGCATAGCATCTCTCACTAGTTTCCTATCATTGGGACTATTAATTACTTTGCATTGATGGTGAAGTCTCTCTAGCATATATTGTACATGCTTTAGCTCTACTTTAAGTGTGACACCAGCTATTGACAAAGCAGAGTATAAATCGCTCAAGCAATTGGGTAAATTATTAATGTAGGGGCAAAATCTTGTACTCCGCTCAGATCCTAGTGAAGTAACAGACATGACTACTTGTAAAGGATTAACTAAAACCGGCTTGTTAATTTCATGATTGTCAATACACTGGAATGCTGGCTCAGCACTTACAGGAATAAATGAAATGAAAGATAGTTCCTTTAATTTGTGACTGTTGTGATCTTGAATGAATTTGATGTTCTCTTTAATAACATTCACCATGAAGGTAGCATAGCCTTCTGATAGTGTTGGTAAGTTGTATGTTGACATCAATCTAAAGTCAGCCAAGTCAGAATTTGAAATATTAATGATGTTCTGAAAAACTTCATCTACTGTGGGCTTAATAAGAACTTGCAATTGGCTCAATACATCATCATCATATGCAGCTGAACAACAGTCCTTTGGTAAATTTATCAATGGTCTAACAGTCCACAAAAGTGAAGCATAACTTGTATATTGGGCAGCCCCTTTGAAACTTGTGAAGCCAGAAGTACAAGGTGAAGCAATCCATGACAGTGAACTCAAATCAGCAGTACAAACAAAGGAAATATTACCAATTTGAGCTAACAAATCAGGTGAATCATAAAAATCAGAAGCTTTATTGGAAAAAAGATAATCAACAAGCACATGAGATGCCTCTTCTGATTTACTTTCAGACACTTGAGTACAAAAGTCTATAAATTCTTGTGCTGTTACTTTACTACAAAGACCAACAAACATAAGAAAATCAAGCCATTGTTCTTTTCTGTATTCAGTATCAAGAAAATGAAACCGGTCAGAAAAAATATTGAATATGTCCATAGTGTGATCGACAAAATGATTAACAGGATAAAGCACATTTCTGTCTGTACATGTCTGACACACTAAAAAATTCAGCCCTTTTGCACAATTTACAAACTTTTTAGCCAGCTCATTTTGTTCCCCTTTCATTCTTAAAGCATGCTTCAAATTAGGAAATATATTTTGCCTAATGTATGCCATGTGAACCTTTCGTTCCTTAAAACTTAGCTGGTTGAAAATGGGAAAAATTATTTCACAATACACTTCAGTGGATGACAAATCCTCACCAAACAAAGAATGAATAGTTGAACAAAGATATTTCCAAGACCCATTTTTCTCCAAAAATACAATACTTTCAATAGGTGCCCACTTGTCATATGCTATCAGGGGGAAATCTGCATCAGGCCAAAGGTAAATATGCTTTCCAAGTAACTTGGTGACTAATCCATCAACACCCTTAAACAAAGGGAGGTACATTAATTTGTTGAAAATTGACTGATCATTATGGAATGATGTGTTCCTAAGGTACAACAGTAGATTGTTGATTTTCCCATCTGACATTTCTTTAACTATTTTGGTAAAACACTCCTCATTTTGTTTGCACACATGAAAGATGACTTTCAGAATATCATTGTAGTGCTCCATACTAGGACAATATTTAAGAATGACTGGTGAAATCAAGTCAGATTTAAGAACAGGAACATGTAATTCTTTTAAAACATCAAATACATCGTGCATTACATTGTCTGGTTCAACAATGGGCAACACTTCAGATGAGCTACTGTAGAGTTTGTCGTCAGATGGTAACAAGGCCCAATTTTGAACAATTTCCTTTTGGTAGGCAACAAAAAATTCATTTTCTGAGAAACACTTCCATAATTCCTTCAAAATACTACTTTTAATAGAACTTATGGGTGCCTCCTTTTCTTTCATGACAAGCGGAAGACTTCGACATAAAAGAATTGATATTTGAGCATAGCTACATGAATCTGGAGTGAGAAAGTAAGATGAAGAAAGAGGTAAGTGTAAGAGTTCTCGATGCAAAAATTTGTCTTTGCTCCTTGAAAAAAGTGAAAAACATTTGCTAACAAATACCTTTTGTGCTTCATTAAATTTTCTAAGAATTCCATCAGATGTTAGTAAAAGTGGATAACCATAGGGAGATCTTGGAAACTCACCTGAATCACTTAAAATGTATGCAAGAAATATCCTAAAGCACTTAATTGTTTGAAAAGGAGTCTCATGTAATAAGAGTGGCTCACTTGTTGTCAATATCTGCTCACTAAATTTTGTGTAGAAGCAAAATACAGACATTGGGCTTACTATTGAGGGTTTATAGACTCTTTCAAAGGATTTATAAATACTATAAGGTGCAAGTGTTATTAACATGTTTAATTTTTTCATAAGTTGCACTACACCTGGAATTTTCTCAGGTGTAAAGTATACCTGTCTAAATTCATCATCACTTCTTAATGGGCACCACATTACTTCACATCGATTATATGGTTTAGGAATTTCAATAGCAAGAACAGGTAAATTATAATCATGAAGATGCTGCATTACATCAATAGCCAATGTATGCCATTTACCCTCTAAAGTTAAAAAATCAGTACCTAATTTAATCTTCAATAGAGGAAACAGATCATAGTAACTTTTAATAGCAGAAAGAATTCTATGCCGGGAGCCATCATACTCTGATAAACGTATCATATGAGGTCTAATCTTTTCCAATAGTACTGCATAAGAATAAGCTATTGCTTTGAGGATAAATTTATTCCATACTGTCTTATTGTCATTTTTGTCATTACTCAACCAAAGTGAACGACGATTACTACTAAGAGCAAACTGACCATTAATTTGTATAGGAAGATTAGTAATTGCAGGTAATGGTAGAAAACAAAATGCATGGCCCAGTAGTCTATTGTTTCTATCCAAAGGAGCTGCAATACCATGCCTTGGCCAAATTTTATTGTGTGATAGCTGTTCTCTTGGACTTCTTGATGCATCACCAACTCCATTTTGAATAAGCCACTTTTTAGTCGTTGTTCTATTGTCAGAAGTTACAAGCTTAAGTTGCATTGGATATGTAACAATGAATGGATCCTTGCTAATTTTAAAGGAACACAATTTACGATGAAATGATTCTCTAATAAGTTGGTTTTCTTGTGAGACTTCTATTTCATAGCCTAGTTTAAATGAGCAGCGACAATCATCAAGAACATAGAAGCTAAACTTTTCGAGGTGGTTTAAAAATAAAAGGGAATGTTCCAATTCATGAACCCATTCAAATAGCTTCTCTTCTATTCCTCTGACAGCTATGTGCCTCTTAAATGTTTTGTCCAACAATTCAGTTGATTCAAATCCATCGTGTGTTCTCAAAGGCAGTCTAAAAAGAGTACCTGAGGTCAAATCTTCATGCAAACAAATGCTAGATGATGAATCACGAAGAAAGCTCGATTTAAGATCAAGCATAGTATTAAAAAATACATTGCTAATGTTGTATTGCCTACCAGGACAGGAGTGATCTGCTTCTGGTACGTACCTGCAATGTGGATCAAATATACAGAGTTTGTTTCCTCTAGTAATAAAGCTGGGACAATCAGTCAGGTGATACACTACATTAAAGCCAATACCAAACTGACCAATCGATTCATCATCATCACACTTGGAGCCAAGGCCAAGTCTTTGTATCCCTTTTAAATCATCATCACTAAAATCCTTATCATTCCATACTAGCAGAGCAGGACCTTGTAGCTCTTTTCCCCACATAACAGATGGAACTCTTTCTTTACCGTGCTGTCTTTTGTCTAATATCACTAAAATTTTATTTGCTTTAGCATCATCAGCATTTTGTATCAGTTCTTTGAGAAGTGTAGCATCAAGTGGATAGTCATTAAGTACATTCCTAATGCGCTGAGTTAGTTCTTCCTTTTGACCAAAAGGGGCTCCAGCAAAATTTTGCTGTACATTAGGAATAAATTTATTCATAAACCTGCTACATGTGGGTTTAACACCGAGGGTTAATGCTACATCTCGAGATAGTTTATTGTGTACAAAGAAACTCTCCTTGTCAGGCGTTAACCATGGCACATCATTAAATGACAATTGATTAACATATCGAAGAGTATAACAATCATCAACAAGTATGACTCTTTCGTAACTGGAAACATTAGATGGACAAATGGACATCAAATTTAGCTCTAATATCATACTTAAGGTAACATTTCTATTCTTCTTTGGAATTTTATGAGATGCGTCTAATTCGTACATTTTTCTGAAGACTAACAATATGTCATCATAGGTGAAATTTTCCTTAATTTTAAGACACTTTAAAAGATTTTTATATTCACAAAGCTTTGATGGTAGCTTGTAAAGAAAAGGACCATCTTCATGCTTCCAGTTAACAGCTACATCACATGGACAAACAAAGATTTTACCTGTCCAAATAAAAGGTTTATTACAATATCTTAATAGTAATTGAGAAATGATAGGATTCTCAAGTGAGTCATTAAAATATTGATACACGTAACAACATATTTCTCCAACAATGTCCCAATTGCCTAACTTAGCTGTAAATGAAGAAACTAGAGTATTAAAGTGGTGAAGCACTTCATCAAATGATGGCATAGTAGGAATTTCCAATAGCTTAATAACCCTTTGTGATATGGACCCACAACCTCCATGATTGACAGAATTCGTGTTGAGAATTGCTCTTTGGGAACCAACAATGAGAGCAGCTTCTCTTGTTCCCATTCGTAAATCACACATTAATTCAGTAGGAGATAGCAGCACATGGCCTTCACCTTTCCAAGGTAAAAAGTAATGTTCAGGCTTTGGTAGCACAGGTAAAAAGCTTGTCTCCTTTAGCTCATCAGGCACAGCAGAGTTTATGCATTTCAATATAGCCTTTACTCTTTTCATTGCTTTATTCTCGTCAATGACGATAACCAATTTAATTGTCTGAGCACTTTTGATAATAATATCCCATGGCAGTTTCCTTGACATCATTCCCATCTCCATTATCGTATAACACACTGGATTATTTTGGCAGAAGTCAGAAAAGGGAAACAATGAATCATCTGGATCAAACATATCATGAAATGTTCCAGGATCAATAAGTTGACTTGGTAGCTTTAAGACGACACCATCAGGTGAGCATGGGATGCATGGAACAGTTCTCAATTGGTTTTTGAAATTCTCTAATTTATCAAAACCTGTCAGCTCTGACATAGAAATAGTTAATAATAGAGTATAAATAACTTTATTACGTATCACTATGTGTGCATCAAACACTTTTATTTTAGACAAAAAGTAGTTGGTAAAACTATCTTCATTAATAATGACAATGTCATTATCAAAGAGTTCTTGCAACTGCAGCATATGCGAAGCAGGTAAGGAGACCACTGGTAGTTGAAGAATATATAGAGCCTCATCAAGAAATGTAGCATCACCAGCTATTGAGTCTTGGAACAACGATGAGGGTATAAAGTTAGATTGTGCTAGTGTTTGCCATCTATTCAATGAAGCAGAGTAGAACAGCTCTTGTTCTGATAACAAATTAATCAAGGGAGTAACAAGGAATATCCATGGATACATCATATTTAGGCTTGCACTTAGTGGCCATAACATATAAAATTCATAATTGAGCAACTTTCCCGAACAATGCATTTCTTGTAGTTTCTGAAGCAACTTACAATAAGCTGCCGGTATAGTGGTTTCCATGAGCTTCTTGTTCCACTGTTCTCTAAAATCTGAAACTGTACTAAGTGAAGGTTTAGTCCAAATACCAGTTCTGTTACTCATGATAGCAAAATTAGCACTAATGTGTACTGGCAATCCAGTACTAGGCAATGCTAGAGGTAGAAAACAAAATGCACTCCCTTTTATTTTTTTACATTTATAAGAGCTCAAGTTTACTTTATCCAGTTGACATGCTACAGAAGCCACAGCAGAAATACCACTATTCTGAGACTGCTGCTGCTCTTCAGCATCAGCAATTAACCAGTGTTCAGTAATACATTTCTGCTGAGGTGAAAATGTGACTACAAAATGACGAATATCAGCAATTCTACTTCTATCAATTGATACTTTAAGCATTTTCTTTGTACCTTTAAAATCACTGAATGTGATGCGCTTCACATGTTGTAAAAAGAGCAATAATTTAGAGCCCCAATTAACTAAATCCCTTTTCATGTCTTCTACAAGATGGTCATTGTAAATTGTTGAGCTGATCTGACTAGCACTTGTCCTAAAAGGAAGCCTAAATAAGGTTCCATTATAGTTTGATGAAGATTTAAACCCAAACAAACCATCATAAGGTACCAAATGATCAGTGTTGGCTAAAATTTTTGACTGATACTTTATTTTTTTGCCTGGCCTGCTCTGATTTTGAACTATGTCTTTAAGATAGTTGAGCGTTGGATCAAATATATACAACCACTCAGCACTAACAAATGAAGGTACATCAGTGACGTGATACACTGAGCAAAAACCAATACCAAACTGACCAATTTTGAGTGGTTGATTAGCTTTTGTGGTACCAGCTAGTTTAGTGATATTTTCAAAGTCTTCTTTAGCAAAAGTACTGTTGTTGTGTACTATCAGAGCTGGGCCATGACTGTCTGCCATTCCTTTAAAAATTAAATTCTTTGTTGAATGTTTTCTATTGTCATAAAGTATATTGACTTCTGTTGCTCCAGCATCATCAGCATTTTGTATCATCTCTTTCAATATACTCAAACCATCTTTATATTCTTTCAAAATATTACAGAGACGAGTTATTATTGGTTCATGCTGACCAGCATCATCAAAGATATCTTCAGTTATATTGAGCTGATCACTAAGGGGAGTCAATCCAAGCTTTGCTGATAAATGAAATACCTTGGGATGAATAAGATAATAATCTTCTCCTGAAGCATTTGCAATTTTACGAAGGACTTCATTATCAGAATAAGCAACCTCTTTAATAGGGAAAAGTTGAGGATAAGAGGATTTGCTTTCAACTGGTACTAGTATATTACCTTCTATCATTCTATCAGAATCTTCTGCTAGCCATTCTAAAATAGCAGTAACTATTGACCAAGCTTTTCTTGAAGTGATTTGATGGTGGGAAACATGATTCATGGCACAAAGTACACTAATGATCTGATGTGAAGTTACTTCATTATTCATCCCAAATATTGTAAAAATGTCTTTGAATTTTTCCAAGTTACTTGGTAACAAATAAAGAAATGGCTCTAAATCTACTTCAATGGAAGGATTAGCTTCTAATGCTACTTGGCTTGCACTTAAAAACTTATTTTTGATAAATACCCAATTATCAATAGCTGAAAAAGTACTTGCACTACAGTGCATTTTGTTATCTTGCAAATAGCTATAAATTTTGAGTGAAATCTGTAGTAGCAGTTTATTGGATATTGATTTCTGATTTTGAATGACATCCTTAAAATGAGATACAATGACTGGCAATAAAGCTTGAGAGCAACATACAAGCTCCACAAGTTCAGTAGGAGCCCTCTCCACAAATAAGGCTTTAGAACCAACTATTAAAGGTAAATCAGATGAAGATAGGTCTCCTGATACTAAAACTAAAGGCACAGTCCTAGGTCTAACTGAAACTAAACAGGACAGATGCTGTGACCCCTTCCACTCTAAACAAGAAGGGTAGTTTCTAGGACGTCTGTTTGCTACTGGTAACCAACAGGTATCAGGACTTAGCTCTGTCAATGCTAATACAAGTGGGAGTTGTAGGTCAGATGACAGACTTATTATATCGTTCAATAAATAAGGAAAAGAGGTTAGATACAACAAAACTGCAATTGCTTTGGAATACTTTACACTACTTAATTCTGTAACAATACCCTCAAAAGAAAGCTCTTTAATAGATGTAACAATTTCAAAAATTCCACTAGCATCAACTGACGACTTTAAACCACTTTGCCTCAAAATAGGCAAATAAGGTTGAAATTCTGTACCAGGAAACTTGCATTGATCAGAGATCAGCTCTTTAATTAGCTCATTTTCAGGATCAAACAAATCAGATGGTGATTTAAATAAGTGAAACGTTGATACTTTAATAAAAGGTAAGTCATTCAAAGCACCAGCTAACTGCTGTCGATAATGAGGAGAGCTAAAATTGCACAGGACACTTAACATAAAAGGGACTATATTTTTGCTTTTAAAGTCTTCACTCTTAATCTGCCAAAAAGCAATTTTTTTGAGGTATTCAGTTTCACCCATAAAGCAAACTAAATTAGCATTGTGTAGCTTTTTTAACAGATACTCATTATTGCAACTACTATATGTAGTATCAATGACAAGTGGCTTCACGCTAATTAGGTGAGTTTCAAAATCATATCTTCCTTTCATAGCAATTGCCTGATTATCATACGTTTTGATGGAATTGAATGAGAACAGAGTTGAACCACTGAACTGCAAAACTTTAAAAAGAGGCAACCCACTAAACTTATCAAACTTACTCTGATCATCGAAAGGAAAATTACTAAAGAAATGCTGTAGACAGTGGGCTTCATCACACGAAAAATCTACCACACGAAAGTCTAAAAACTTAATTGCATCCAACACTTGATCAGGGACAAATTGATATAAATATTCAGAGAGCTGTACATGAGACAAGAAGGTGAAGTCCCTGGAGTCAGCAAATTTGACACCACATTTTCTTAAACAAGCAATAAGTAAATCAGAAATGGGCTCAACCTTGGACAGTGAAATATGGACTACACCTGTTTGTTTTGCAAAAGGCACAATATCCATTTTACCAAAAGGCAATTGCACTGGTAATATTAATTTACCATAAAAAAGTGACAAGTCTTTTTTATTAATCCATTGCCAAAGAAGAGCTATCTGGTCTCGTGACCATAAGCTTGTGTTACATTTTGATAATAATTCAGCTACATGTACAGTGTTAAGTATGGCAAGCTGTGTCTGACCACTATGTGCAACTGAAACAAGATTTGAATGCAATATTTCATCTTCGTGGTACATTCTTACAAGAATATTTTCTAAGCCACACAATAAATTGCTAGGATTTTCAAGGCTGCTAAGAAAGCATAATTCTGTGTGTGACTCAATCTTATTTCTAAACTCCTTAAAGGAACCATCAGCCAATGGTAATAATTGGAGATTATATAAATCTGCATAATTATAATCAGCCAGACAATATCTTAAAATAGCAAGTTTATCTTGTCTTGTCACATTAATATAAGATGATCCACAGCCTCTTAAATAAAATCTTGCTAACGATGGACTCAAAACTTTTCTAGCTCCAGTATAATACCTATCAACTACTTCATTGCAACTGATGCTCAAGAAAACTAACTTTAGGTTACACTTGAACAGAGCATCACATACAGCCTTTGGAACATCATCATTCAACTTTAGAATTACAGCATCTTCAATATTAATCCATTCCCCTCCATTTAATTGAGTATAAACTACCTTACTATGGCTAAACAACAACTTGTAGAATGGTTCCAATAGTCCACTCCATGATGTACCACTCACTTTTCTCATATCAGGCCAATAGCTGTAGACATCCACTGATGGCATCGCCATTAATTCAGAAACTAACTTAAAGTAACAAGAAGGCAAACATTTCTCAACAAGCATTTTGTTCCATAATGCCTGCTCATCATGTCTCCTCTCTTGAGCTATCCATTTTACTGATCGTCGATTAATGCCAACAGCAAAACTACCATTAACATGAACTTTGAAAGGTGACTTGTCTTCAACTGGTAAAGGCAAAGCACAAAAAATACGGCCATCAGCAGTAGGTAAAGTGTTCAATTCAACAGCTACTCCTACCCAAGGAAGGACACTTTGTTTCTCTGCTAGTTCCAACACCTCTTGACTATTAGATCCAACCTGATGAACTACAAGCCACTCATGCACTACATATGATGTGTAATCATCTATAGCAACATTAAATTGATTACAATCTAAATGTGTTTGACTGCATTGCTTTAAATCACTCTTATTGTTAGTAAATAAACTCTCAACAGTGCACAAAAATCTTTGCTGGCTACAAATATGTTGGCTAAGGAACTCATCAGTAATGCTCACATTGAATATTGACAATATATCTCCTTTAGTATTAATTTTGAATACTTCTATCGAACAAACAGACCTCAAAAAGAGCAACATATATTTTGCCTCTTCTTTTAGTGAACTCAATAAGGACTCGACTTTCGAAATATCATAAAGTTCATTCCACATTTTAGATGGTGTATTACGCAAGGGAAATCTGAACATAGCTTTCCCCTTGTACTCAGATAAAGTATTAGAGAACTCACATATACCGTTCAATGACTCAAGAGCTTCAGGACAATAGTAATTTAAATCTTTCAAAGAATATCGCTGGCCAGGCTTACCGATCCATACTGATTCTTGAGGTTCCAGGAATACACATGTGTCTTCACTGACTATAACTGGAAGATCTACATGTAATACAAGAATGAAAGTATAACACTACTGTATGTAAACTGAAGTCATTACCAGTAATGTGATATACAGTATTGAATCCAATTCCAAACTTTCCAACTTTATGTGGGCTGCCAGCCTTCACACTCTGATATGTAGTCTTTATGCTTTCCCAGTCTTCTTCTTTGAATGGTGCATTATTATACGACAGAAGGGCAGGACCAGTGAATCTCTTTAATATTTCAGAATTATCTGATTCTTCCAATAATGAAGGAGGGAGTGTCTGCAGATCACGACAATCAAGATAAAACTTAACCTTCGTGGCTCGAGCATCATCAGCATTTTGTAAAATTTCCTATAAGAAATGTAGGACTAGTGATAGATCAGTACAATGCACTACATGTACAACAAAGTATAATCAGTCATACATAATTAGGGGGCATCCCTAAAAACAAATGAACAAGTAGTGTAGGGCTGCATCGTGAAAATCAATACTAAATGTGACATCAAATGATTACCTAGTTGGTGCTTAGTGCAGTGGCGTGTACCAAAGTAACCAAACTAACTCAACAAAAAATGTAACTATATGTTGTATTATTCAGAGTGGGTTAATGGTAACAGTAATAGTCTTAGAAGTGATGGAGAACTTAAATACTTAATAGTAACAGAAACACACGTAGTACAAGTAAAGTAATACATAAACATCAGAAAATAATAATAACACATAGTACAATGTACATACACATGTACATGTACATGTAATTGGAAAATCCTAAGTTTGAAAACTAATTACTTCACATAATGTAACAATGGTTTATTCTGATGCTAATTGCCTTTTGTTGTTGTCACTGTAAATACATAAGATGCACATGTACTACTGTACATATGTACATATACATGTAGTTGCTTTGGCTCTTCATTAAATGGACTTGGGAATAACATTCAACTTCCAACCAATTAGAACTGTAACTGTAGTAGTTAGGATGCATGCAGGTACATTTAACAATCTGTAGCAATTGGATAAGGCATTGGCAAGAATGCTATGGAACTTTGTTAAAATGACAACTTTAATAGGGAAACTGTTGAAGGTAGAGAATGTAGTTCAAAAGGGCGGGATGTGAGTCAGACAGCCTAATCTACACTCCTTATCCACATAAATTGTGAAGATGGGTTCAGTAAAATACAAAAGTGAATACAAGAATAAAACTCTAGTCTAATCTTGTGTTTACTTATTATGCTGTAATTATACTACCTACAGTCGCAAACCAAATATTCTGAACCCAGCTTTACAATGGCATGTTTTTTTAATATGCCCTGGTTATACCATAGATATATGGTTATACACATCATACATATAGACCCATCCCAAGGCTAATTATCATGATCATTAATTGCACCGTATATCCCAACTGAAGGTGAGTTCTCAATATGACGCATTGCCTTTCATGCACCAGCGTCATGACCAGAAGTGCTGTATAAACCAATGGGTGCATGCGTCAATGCGTCAGATTAGAAAATATTCTATTCTGACGCATTGACGCATACTCCCATTGGTTTATACAGCACTTCTGGTCATGACGCTAGCGCATGAAAATCAATGCATCATATTGAGAATCCACCTTGAGTTTGACACCAGCCACTTGGAATTTGAAAAATGTAGGTAACGTCAGTGATGACATCTTACAATGATATTCATAGAAGTTGGCCGACATTTTACAGCTGCGTAGTTGGCCTGTATTGCACTCTTAAATGGGTTTTCTTTGTTCTGATAAGCAGTACAATAGCTGCTCAACTAGTCTTTATACAAGCAATCATTATCAGAAGATCTTACTCTGTTAGCTTTTAAAAATTAGAATTATCAGTTTTGCCGCTCGACCACATGTTCCTATTATATAGGCGATAGCCTATATGTAGGATTGAGGTTGGTTTTTCAAGATGGCTGCCGTTTTTATGATTTTCAAACACTCGTAACTCTTTTATCTTACGTTGTACAGCCTTATAAATGGCTTAGATGAGCTCTCCTTCACTAAGCGATTCTCCTGGTACCTTTAAAGTGGACTGTAACTTAGCAGGAGCTTTTTTAGAGAATAGGCCAAAATTCAAATTTCTGCAAAATTCTTCGGACTTTTTCTTCTTTCAACTTCTTCTATCGCCACGATAATCTTTTAAACCAGAAAACCGCTCAAGACGGCTTTTACATCATTCCTTTGTGCTTGGGTCAAAGACCACAGTGGCGGATCTAGGAGGAGTTCCATGGGTTCCATGGAACCCCCCCCTTTGGCAGAAGAAGTTGTCCTTTTGCAGTATCTTTGGATTCTTTGCAGTCAGTCTGCAGCACTTTTCCTCCATTTTATTAATTAAAATTGATGAGCCACACCCAAATTTTAATTAAAATTAATGAGCCACACCTACTTAAGTGAAATGGAACCCCCCTTTCAATTTTTCTGGATCCGCCAGTGGACCACAAAGGTGGATTCATAAAGAAGCGAGGAGAGAACAAAATGGAAGTCAAAATCCAGCTGCAAACACCGCAATGACCGCATGGGTTTGTGGTTTGACACCATTTTAATTTATGCGCACGTGATTAGCATGAATATGATTAACCTAACCACATAATCATAACAGAATGTAATTTATTAATTTAAGAAAAAAGAATGGAAACAAGTAAATTAAAAACATTAAAAATGGAAAAGTAATAGGATTAAATTGTAAAGAAGTAAAGAAACAAGAGG